TATGTATCCCAGTGGTTCGTAGGCACAGGTTTATGTATCCCAGTGGTTCGTAGGCACAGGTTTATGTATCCCAGTGGTTCGTAGGCACAGGTTTATGTATCCCAGTGGTTCGTAGGCACAGGTTTATGTATCCCAGTGGTTCTTAGGCACAAGTTTAACTCTTGGTGTCTGGGGCAACTATGATTTATGTACACTGTAGTGTCCCACATCTAAACAGGGTCTTAAAATATTTTTATAGAATTTGTGTATTTTGGGCTGGTCCTTGGTGAAAATGTTAATTGTCTTTGTCAAATTTAGTGTTGTTTATTTGTATGCGAAGTAAAAATGAAATAAAGACCTACTTCTGAAAGTTGCCACTGGTTTTTGAAGGGAAAGAAATAATGGATGGTTAGGTGGTGCAGTGGATAGCACACCTGCATTTCACCAAGGCGGTACTCTGGTTTCCTCCCGCAATAAGACCCTGCGCGCACCAACATCCGGGCCAACAAGAGTGATTAATATACGTTGAAATAAATTGTTTCATAATTGTTGTAAAATAAATGAAGTTTGTATTAGAAATAAAAAAATTAAGTTCTGTTTATGTTTTTGATGATAACCACTGTCAAAAACATCTTTATGTTTATCTCTTGCTTAAAATTATTTGTTGCATCAGGGTGAAAAATACACGTTGCAAAAGCGAGTCATATTTAAAGTATCCCTTGAAGAGCCCACTTTCAAACTTTATATGAATTTCTTTGTTTATGTGTCTTTCCAGAATGTTTTAGATGGGGAACTGTTCATCATCAAACATCTTCTGATTTTACGGGAACAAATCGCTCCCTTCCAGGCCGACTTCTCCATCAGGGAAACCTGCCTGGATTTCAGTAAATTCAAAGGTAATAATCAGTAGCAGCTTATATTATTTATTTTGATTTCTCAAGTGGGTTTTAATTTCTAAGGTGTTGAACATATGTGTTAATATTAATGTACAATGCATTTATTTGGTGGTTTTTGTTTTGCCTTTTTTAATAGTTACTTCATTGTTAAAACAACAGGTATCATGTCCTACGTTGTAAAAGTGGCTTGACTTTTATTCGTCTCAAAGAGTTTTTTATCAGCGATTAAATCGATTGTAATCTGACTATCTAGCTGACTTTGTCTTGGTAAATATATTTTTCTCAGGTTCATACAAACACCTTTTCACCTCATCAAAAGTCCATAAAGTTATAAATATGGTTTGTCACCTAATTAGTATGCTATATTTAATTAAAATGATTGTAAGCTGACTATCTAGCTTACTTTGTCTTGGTTAATATCTTTTTCTCAGGTTCATACAAACACCCCCTTTCACCTCATCAAAAGTCCATAAAGTTATAAACATGGTTTGTCACCTAATAATTATGCTATATTTAATTGAATTGATTGTAAGCTGACTATCTAGCTTACTTTGCCTTGGTCAATATATTTTTCTCAGGTTCATACAAACACCTTTTCACCTCATTAAAAGTCCATAAGTAATAAATATGGTTGTCACCTAATAATTATGTATGCTATATTTAATAACATAACAGACAGCAATCTGTGTCACCTGCCTTATACATATACCCATCTCCTAATGATGTTACATCAATCACATTTTGTTAGAAATCTTTTATTTGAGATATTGCATCAAGCTCCACTGTAAATATTGTAATCCAAGATGAACATGTATTGTTAGTATATAGTAACTGTTTTCTTCAAATTATTTGTTATCAAATAACGTTATTAATTGCTTCCTTTGTAAATCGCCTGATTTTTCTCACATCTTTTAAACAAAACCGGACTACAGTACAGTATTCTGAGTGGTATTTTTTGGCAACAAAATCACTGTTTCTTACAGTGTATGATGGGAAACTTAGTGAATACACAGTGAAATATTTTCCCTAAATGAGTAAAATCCATATTAAGCCAAGTGTCATTACCTTTTACAACATAAACAGAACTACTATACATAAATCAATGGGCGTATTCATATTGCTGTGGTGACTAGTTGGGGCCCTCTAATCAGAGAATATGGAGGCCCTATATAGAAATTATTATCAAGGTGATGATTTATTTCACTTCAAAATAAGTTAATAAATGCATAACGCATCTAAAATGAGTGTCATCAGGGGCTCTCACAATTAAAATATTGTATTCAAAATTTTCAATTTTTTGTTACACTGAATAACTTTTTTGAAATATTTCCTGCACAATTCTAATTTGCTAAAAGTTGTGTTATTTTTTGTTTCTAAGACATTCTCATCTCTATCCAAACCAATATCCAATAGCCAGAAATTTACATTTCAGAATTGATAACATTTGAAATGAAATTTAAAATCATTGTTAAAAATATAGCAATGTTATTGAGGAAGCAGGGTTTTCCTCATTATATAATCCTAAATTGTTTTTATATTCCACCGGCTTTTTATAAGGATTTATTTTCTTTTCTTATTATAATATTATGCTTTTAATATGTTCAATGATTGTTCAAAGTTTAGCTAATGCCAAAATTCAGGCATTGGAAATGTTTTCGAGCTTGAAGTGAGAATGTTTGTGAGCTTTAAGTTTTAATTATTAATATTGCCGCCATCATTTATTTACCGTGCAGACCTGAGTTTATCACAAGCTGGTCATAAGTTTCTGGGTAAATATTTTCCGCCTTTGTTTTCTTTTATGTAAAACTTGGGAAATTTTCAAGTTATTGAAAACAGTGTTCTATCATTTGTCTGAACGGTGCTGTCATTGTCAGAAAGTCCCATAAATTCATTCACCCCTGAAATTTCATAATGAAGTGTTCCAACCTTTGGACTGGAAGAGTTTAAATGTGTCCTCAGGTGTGAAAAAGTTAAGATGATCATGATATATCAAATTAATTTTTTGATATTTCACAAAATTATCAGTTAATTTCTTTATTGTCATTATGACTTTTATTGATTAGTTAAGGAACCATTTCCTTATCCTCAGCAAATAATTTGTAGCTAAAAAGAAATCCTAAGTTCTGTCTTGTATTTCCTGTGTACAATTCCAGATATTTATTAACACTTTATCGTCATAATGGCTCAGTAAAGTTAAAAAATCGGTGTTGAAATGAAAATTACATTAAAAACATGTTTTTTTTTACATTTGTTAATACATTATTTTTGCATCAATTCAGACCCATACAATAATGCTTTCTCAATCAAAATAAGCTTAGTCTTTCCTAGAATATTCTGTAAGTCTAATACAGATTACATTGTTATCCATTGAAAATTCATCTTTTTGTCTTTATTTATATTCCTTATAAACTAAGTGATATTGGGTCTTTAAGGTAAACATGTTGAACACTGTTAGTGAATTAACTTGTGAATGGTTCCAAGGTTTACGTGCTGCCTGCCACTAAAGTGTTGTCTCCCCTTGTCTGTGTATTATCTCCCTTGTTACTCTGTCCTGTCTGTATTGTGAGTATCCTTGTTTCTAGTAAAAGTATGTCATAGCAATCTCATCAAAATCATATCTCCTATTTCGTGGTCAGAGTGCACTTTGTGAAAAAAGGACAATTGCATGCCTTGCACAGGCTTTGAATAGTGCTGGAATTGAGTTCCAGTGTTTCAAAATCTATTGGAAAAAAGATGTTTCCTGAGAAAGTACCGAAAATTATTCAATAGTTCTTGAGAAAGTGCTGATGTAGGAATATTTATACTGGAGACAATAAACATGTTTTCTCTAAAGAACTATTTCAAAGTTTTTTGTTGATATATATATATTTATCATAAAAAGTTCAGAATTTATTTTGGATTAGATTTGATTTGTTTTAATTTCATTCTCTATAACTCTCAGAAAATCTTGAAACCTTTTTCCCCAAATTTTAACCTGGGCAATTGCAACAAAAGTGCTTGGATCTTGTCCTAGACAAGTGTTGCTGCCCGTAAAGGTCATCAAAATGACACACAAAGGTCATGCAAAGGTCACCAGAAGGATGAGATCTTGAGTGCCTTGACTGGATGAAGTGAAGGAGATATCGTTTTAATGAGATTGAATATGTAATGGTGAACTGGGTCTTTGTTGTCATGTCTATAAACGCCTACAACTTTGGTTGAAGCATGGGAATGACTGTCCTCAGTATCCAGAGGTTACGCTTACTTTCGCTCTGTGCACCCCTGGAATATGTCATAGCAAAATTGAAGGCAGAAGATAGCTGTTTGATTGGTCTCAGGTNATTGAAGGCACGAAGATAGCTGTTTGATTGGTCTCAGGTAAAAAAGAACTGACCAATCGCTAAGCTGATACTTGTCCTTTGAAGATTACAGAGGAGCCATGCCCGACTTCAAAGCCAATAAGTTTGACTGTTACGCAACCGCGAGATTCTTTTGATTTACATCAAAGGATCAAACTGCACACTGAGCCTTCGATTTTGCTATGACATATTCCAGGATATCAAGGATGGGGAATTACATAAGGGGAAATAAGGGGAAAGAAATATTGTTATATATGTATTTATATTGTTTGTGAGTTGTATGTTTTATCCACATAAAGAAAAATGTCCTTTCCAACTGTCTTACATTCCAGATTATTATTTTAACCTAAAGTTTGTTTTTTATTCATATTTTCACAAAGTAGAATGAAACAGCGAATGATCTATACAGTCATTCAAAAATATAAGTATTTTCTTTCCTTGTTTTAATACCTTATAAAATTGAAACCGATTTATGTTCCTCGATTCCACCGAAGTTTTGAAGGTTACGCTACAAATGATGCCATGCTTTTGTCTCAGATTATATTCTCTCTGAGTGAAACTATTGTAATATGACATGCATATATGTTTCTGTTCTACATTCCTTAAAACCATGTGAAAATGTTAAACTTGGCCCGCTTGCTTGGATGATAATTAAATAAAACCGTCATTAAAGTATGTGTATCATTAAGCCTTAATGGTATGTTAAATTACTAATGATTGATTAGTTAGCCTGTCTGTTTCTGTTTGTAAAATGAATTGGCTGTTTTTTGTGTCACCTGCAAGGCATATATAGGTATTATTTTGTCCTCGGTTGCGTCTTCCGAAACAAGGTTTCCGTGCGATAACTTGAGTTCCCCTGTGTTGATTGAACTCAAACTTAATACACATATTGCATACCAATAAAGCTCAGACAAGTTTACATTTCAGATGTTTAAGTGCATTTATAGTGGAGTTATACCCCCTTTATTGCCTAATAAGGGCATTGTGTAATAAATGGAAGAACTTTTTTATTTTTTAATCAGTTCCTTTCAAATATTGTACTGTAATGCTAGAAGCAATAATGTTCAACATATATCATGGGTTTTTCTGTCGAGTTTCAACTTTCAGCGTTTTGTTATATCTGTTTAAGTGATAACTCGAGCCAAAACACTTTTCTTACTAAAAGCGCTGAGCAGGCGACACATCCACTCCCGTGGAATTCTTATATTTCTTCTTTTTATCAATTTTAAAATATTTATTTGCTTTTCAAAATTTTTAAATCAGCTGAATTTTAATTGAAAACATTGTGATACGATATACACCGACACACCCCTCTGACATTTTGAAGGTGCATTTTCTTGACACAGGTTTAATGTGAGGACGTTTAGCCAGTATGACTTCTAGTTATAGACTTGTATAATTGTCCTGTGATTGTGACTAACATAAATACAACCCCTGTGTTCTGTGTTGGTAACTGGGTATTTAGATTTGATTTACAGCAGCACACTTGTATCCTATCAGGTATCATATATGGCTACTCTAACATTGTACAATGTGAACATGTGTTCACATTGGACAACACATACTTCTCTGAATTGCACAGTGATAATAATTAGTTAACTAATAATATTGAGTGACTTTCTGTCAAATACTTTTTTGTATTTCTGTTTTTCAACAAGATTGAATTCAGCCTCAGGGTCAATGTTATTTCAGATATTTGTCAGTTATTAACAGCAAATAACACATTCAATTTAAACCTTCAAATTGCTGGGCAAATGCCAAATATCAATGCTACATGCCAAATATCTTCTGTAAGACAAAAGGGTACGAATTTATACATTTTTTCACAACTTCAGTGATGGGCCTGTGGCTTTGAAATTGCAATAATTGTGTTTAAGTTATCTTACTCACCCCTGACTACACATTTGAACTCTTCCAAATCAAAAGTTGGAATAGTACATTATGAAATTTCAGGGGTGAATGAGTTAATCTAAATAAGGAATTGATAGAATTACATCTAGTAAAGGTGCATTGAATCAGTGCAACGATTCCTGTTGTCATTACCTTCAAGTTGGTAAGTAATATTCAAATCAGGTTACAATTGAAACCTACTTAGCATATTTATCCTTCAGTAAACTGAAGTCTGGTAACAAGCCCCTCTATATCTAACTCAGTAATTCATTGTCCTGTAACAACTTACAAGGCCCCCCCCCCTACTAAATTTGGAAGGGCTGTGGTGGCCGAGTGGTTAAGGCGTCTGACATTCTGCTACCACTAGCCCACCACTGGGTCATGGGTTCGAGGCCTACGTGCACGTGGGGCAGTCGCCAGATACTGGCTGTAGGTCTGTGGTTTTTCTCCGGGTGCGCTGTCTTCCCTCCACCACCAAGCCCTGGCTCGTCCTTAAATGACCATATCTTTTAATAAAACCTAAGTCAGAAATTATTAGTTTGCCTCCTGGGCTAATTGCAGGATAAATATAGCAGATGTTGAGGTTGACCTATATGCATCAGTGGTATAGCATATTAATCAGAATTTCGTAAACTATAATAAAACCATATTGTTGTCACTTGATAATTCTACGATAATAGGTAATGTGATAAATTGTTAGACGCTCTGACATAGAGATTAAATGTCTGATTTCGCTACAGGTGCTGCCTATGATCTGGTGAACAGCAAGTCCAAACTGTTTGCCTTAAACAGTACCAACGCATTACTGCAGTTTATCCTGGAGGTAAGGTCACAACTTCATCATCATACACACTGCCTTACGCCTTGTACACTCTCGTGTATAGTATTGCGACACATTTTAATTGTACATAAGATTACGGTTGCCTTCTAGCTTTGTGCTAGTGCTAGAGGAAATTTCCCTTAATAAGCTCATTGGTAGAGCGACCCACTAGGAAGTATAGGATTGAGGGTTTGATCCCTGGTGGAAGCACACCAACTTTCATTCCTGTTAAATATGGTGTCTGTGACTCTCCTGTGGTGACGTAGGGAGTTAGAACTTAGTTTTTTGAAGTGTTCAGGGGCAACACATTTAAAAAGGAGGTAGTAGTGTGGCAGATTTTAATTGTACATAGGATTACAGTTGCCTTCTAACTTGCTAGAAGGAAGTTACCTTTAGCTGATCATCCGTGGTAGAGCGCCCGACTAGGAAGTCTGGGATCACAGATTTGATCCCCGGTGGCAGCACACTTCTCTCTTTTCCTGTGTCAGAATGTATTGTCATTCTGTAGAAATAATAAACTAGTGGGGGGAAAAAATGGAAACATACGGAAAGAAACAGGAAAAAATAAATTCTAATGTGTATTTGTGTTTTATAAAAGCACTAAATGTTAGGTGTCGGACTGTTCCTGACTAATCAATGGTGTCGTAGTAAAGAGTACATGAGGGTGAAATGGGAACAAACCCTGGCCCAAGTATGTGTCACTTGTTAAACTCATTCACCCCTGAAATTTAATAATGAATTATTCCAACCTTTGACTGGGAAGAGTTTAAATGGGGTAAATGAGTTAATATATATATTACATGTCTTCTAAGATCATACAATTCAAAAGAAAATTGAGAAATAATTTGGACTTTTATAAACTAACACAACTTTAAACTTGCAGGGTACTCCCCAGGTGACGGAATACTTCGTTGATTCCAAGCGTGATGTCGACCAGCAGTTGAAGAGGAGCTGTGAGGATTTTATACATCATGTCACTGGGCTGTTTACAGAACCACTACAGACGTTTCTGTCCAGAGTAAGTACTTAATGCATCATGTCACTGGGCTGTTTACAGAACCACTACAGACATTTCTGTCCCGAGTAAGTACTTAATACATCATGTCACTGGGCTGTTTACAGAACCACTACAGACGTTTCTGTCCAGAGTAAGTACCTAATCATTTGTGAGGAGCATTACCGTTTACATGTATGAGGTATTTTCATCAAGACTTAATTTTCACTTTATTTGTGAGATATTCAAATCGCAAGCAATTGAGTGTTAAGTTTTCATCGCATACAGAAAAATACCATGCACTAACATAAAAGCATTACAAGGTAATAAAAAAAGAAATGAAAAATTGAAATGTGGACTTAAGATTTTTGAACAGATTTGCGAAATCTGCTTCAGAAATAAATAACCTGGTTTATAGTTTGTTGCTATGTAAGGTTGTTCATTCATTATAATACTTCAAATGTTGGTATGAATGAGATATAGATATATGAAATCATTGTATATTTACCAGCGGTATGTAAGTAAATGAAGTCAAGGTATAAATAAGGCAGGAAAAATGGCACACAGGGAGCGCAATTAGAAGGACAGGTGACATAATTGTAGGGGTGTCACAATATGCCAAAAGTGTATCACGATATATTGCAATACAGAATGAATATAATGCAATACATATGCCGATATATTGTCATAGGAAAAATGTGCTCGATTTTATAATAAGTTGTTGTCAGAATGTTATCAAACTTAATCATATATAATATGGATCACATAGATTTAAGATTTTTGTCAAACCAACCATTGATTACAAAATTTGAACTATTAAAAGTCTGTTTTATGCTTATTGGCATATCTGTTAGAATTTGTAGTAATTTGCAAAGTTAAAACACCAAGCAGAATGAGATAGATATAAACAAGCTTTTGAAAAACTATTGCGATACAGCAATATTTCATCTCTATATTGTGGTACAATAGTATGATATACCTGTTTTCCGATATATTGTGACAGCCCTACATAATTGTATAATATTTTCAGGCTAGCGTGGTAATCAGTATGAAAACCGAGGAACCAGCTAGGAGTGTGACACTCGGACAACAGCCCTTCGCCACGCCCGAAAAGTTACACGACGTCATAGCCGAGACTTATCGCAATCTCAAGACGCGCCTTCCCACGGTCCAACGGTCTATGTCTCTGTACTTAGCCAATCGAGATACAGAGGTCATTCTCTTCAAGCCAATTAAGGTAGGTCAAGGTCAGATTTATGTTAAATGTCAAACTTTTCAAGCCAATGAAATAAGAGGAAAGTCAGTATTATATTGATGTCATCCTTTTCACAATTGATAGTGGATTAAGTTCTTAAGGTCAAACACTCAATTTTTCTGCCTCCACAATATAGTGGTTGGAGTTTTAAGGAATTGCCTCTTCCTTGTTTTTTACATCAATCCATACAACAGTTAGATGTTGTGCTTATCTCCATACGTCCAATACTACAAGTCCAACAATCATCAAACTTCAAACATAGGTAAATCTTGAGGAGACTTAGATTAACATTTAATTTTTAAAATCTGTAATTATCCACAAACTGGTATATAAGTAATTGACTCATTAATATAATTAATATAAATAATAAAAAAAAAGATAAAGAAATAAAAGCTCTAATTAGATTTAGAATCTTTGATATAATGTAGATTCATGTGTTACTTGTGTAACTTGGTTAAAACCTGTGTATTTTGTAGGTGAACATTCAGTCAACATACCAACAGGTGGACAAGATCCTGGCTGATCACTACACTGAGGAGGACAGATTGATCGTGGCCTTACCAAGCTCTGAACAGGTAAGACAAGTGTAGCTTTACACAGTTGTTTACAAGAAAGACAGATTAAGGCTCACCTTATTCAGGTAGTTTACATGTGTAGCCTTACCAGGCTGTTAACAGGTAAGACACAGGTGGCTTCACCTTACTATAGTAGTTGATGTATGTACCCTTACCCAGCTCTGAACAGGTAAGACAGGTGTAGCCACATCAAGCTATAAACAGGTAAGACAGGTGTAGCCTCATCAAGCTCTAAAGAGGTAAGAACAGGTAAGACAGGTGTAGTCTCACCAAGCAATAAACAGGTAAGACAGGTGTAGCCACATCAAGCTATAAACAGGTAAGACAGGTGTAGCCTCATCAAGCTCTAAACAGGTAAGACAGGTGTAGCCTCATCAAGCTATAAACAGGTAAGACAGGTGTAGCCTCATCAAGCTATAAACAGGTAAGACAGGTGTAGTCTCATCAAGCTATAAACAGGTAAGATAGGTGTAGTCTCATCAAGCTCTAAACAGGTAAGACAGGTGTAGCCTCATCAAGCTCTAAACAGGTAAGAACAGGTGTATCCTCATCAAGCTCTAAACAGGTAAGAACAGGTGTATCCTCATTAAGCTCTAAACAGGTAAGACAGGTGTAGCCCCATCAAGCTATAAACAGGTAAGACAGGTGTAGCCACATCAAGCTATAATCAGGTAAGACAGGTGTATCCTCATCAAGCTCTAAACAGGTAAGAACAGGTGTATCCTCATCAAGCTCTAAACAGGTAAGACAGGTGTATCCTCATCAAGCTCTAAACAGGTAAGAACAGGTGTATCCTCATCAACCTCTAAACAGGTAAGACAGGTGTAGCCTCATCAAGCTCTAAACAGGTAAGAACAGGTGTATCCTCATCAAGCTCTAAACAGGTAAGAACAGGTGTAGCCTCATCAAGCTCTAAACAGGTAAGACAGGTGTATCCTCATCAAGCTCTAAACAGGTAAGACAGGTGTAGCCTCATCAAGCTATAAACAGGTAAGACAGGTGTAGTCTCATCAAGCTCAAAACAGTTCAGACAGGTGTAGCCTTATCAAGATCTTAAGAGGTAAGACAGGTGTAGCTTCTTCAAAATCTAAACAGGTAAGACAGGTGTAGCCTCGTCGAACTCTGAACACAGTTCAGACAGGTGTAGCCTCGTCGAACTCTGAAAACAGTTCAGACAGGTGTAGCCTCGTCAAACTCTGAATATGTAAGACAGGTGTAGCCTCGTCAAACTCTGAATATGTAAGACAGATGTATAGCCTAGCTTGTCAATATCCAAGAACAGGTAAGATTGGAATAACTTGACCCAGCTCAGAATAGATGAGGTTATTATACAATGTACATGTAAATGTATGGCGGCTGATCAGCTGTGTTGTTCACCTTGTGACATGAGAGTTAGGGTTCCAGTTGTGATTTGAAAAGAAAGCTTTGATGAATATTTATGACTTTTATATCATTCTTGTTGTATTAAACGTTAATGCTTTGATATTTTTTCCAGATTAATTTACTGCTATCAACATCCAAGTCCTGAAGAGAGCTCAGAAGAAGTGGTGTTAACTATATCTGTGATACATGTCCCTACTAAAGACACCAATACAGTCTGGGGATCATCAGGCATACCCTTATTTGGACATGCATGTGATTTACATGTGATTTGTACCTTTTATTGCCAAGTCGGTCAGCTTTGCTTCATTTTATATCAGCAATACTTTTTCTTCATGTTTGGATTTAGTTATTAGAGTGTGTAAACCATATTTTCTGATAGTCCAGGAGGTTTGATAGATACTTAGATAATTTGAAAGTTTTGCTCTCTATGTCAGAGGCTTAATTCTTCTCAGACATGAGCCATTTATAAAGAAGTGAAGTGGGCTACCGTTTGAGAAAAAGGATAATAATCGAAAACAGTGTATGTAAAGTTTTTCAATGAAAAGTTACAAAAACTCATTTTCGAAACAAAACAAAATTTAAAAGTAAATTTATTGACTAAATTGCAAGTACATAGTAATCTTGAATGTAAAAGTAAAAAAAAAAAATCTAGTGAAATATGAAAAATTCTCAATCTGACAAAAGATATTATGTTTCATGGTAGTGAGAGAAAATCATATCTTATAATATACATTTTTATTACTACACATTCTCAGTGTTTTCTTTTTTTTTAATCTTTTTTTTGACAATGTTTGGGTTATTTTGTGTGGGTTAACATTTGATTGTGATTATTCATATCAAGTTACAGTACATGTATTATGATGATAGATATTTAAAATGTCTGACCTATAAATGAGATGTGCAATACCAGGGTGATACAAGGTGCAGTGTGTATGATTGAGTGCACGGAACTGAAGGATCAAGGTTTTTGTTAATTGACTAGGAATATATCAATTCCAGGAGCTTACTGTTATTATGAATGAGTTTTCAATTTCTTATCTCAATGGAATGGAAACATAATTTCATCTGGAAAAACAGAAAGACACAGATGCGTATATGTAAATACTTTATTTGTTATAATAGGATATTAGTGGACCCAGGCATTGCTGCCTCTATATCCACATCAATATAGTTTGAAATTCATTGTGGTAAACATAAAATAAGCCTGTATATAATATAAGGCACTGTATGATAGGACTTCAACTCCAGATCTTTCCAGAATTCGTCCAAGTTTTTCTCAAAGTCTAATACCAGTATTTAACACAGTGGCATTCAATGACATAAACGTTTTAACTTCCCAATAATTATCCAAAATGCTGTAACAGATTTGAAGTGTGAGGTTTAACGAAGTGAAATACGTGATCCAAGGATGTTTGATTGTAAGGATGGTCGTGTGTGGTTGTAAGGGCCATGTGACTGCTCGTATGAATGAATTGCAGTGTAGCTGATGTGTAAGATGCACAGAACTCTAAAGGTACTGTATACTGGGAAACCTTTCACCCCCGTGAAATATTCACCCTTATCTGGTAAATTTCCTGGTATACAGTCCATATGTTTACCAATATCTCTAGCTTAAATTATTATTGAATTTCTTAATCAGGAACTGTATTTCATTCATATGACAATTTTCTTCCCTCACGTGGAGAATGTTCTCATTTTTCTGTATATTATTTTATGGAAAGCAGGGCCAAGTTGCTCAAAGTTGAATTAGCTTCAGCGCATATTAAGTTATTAACACGAACGTTTTAAAAATAACAACTACAACTATCACACACACCCCTTCCGCCCCCCCGCCCCCTCCACAAAAAGAATATGTGCTTACACACACTTTAAAAAAAAAAATCTCAAATCTTGAAAAAATTGTTAATGACTTGGCAAGCTAACCAGACTTTGAACACCTTAGGGTTACTGTGCTTGAAATGTTATTGGTTGATGTAACTAGACAAGACTGATTAATGGACCACAATACCTGGGATTAAAACATTTATCGTAAGTGCTTTTATGTGTACTCACTAATTTGAATGTACCACAGTAGTATTTATAATTCATCATATGTACTGTAGAATTTACAGTGGGTGATCATGTTTTATTTATGCTGGGAGAATAAAAAAGTGAAGAAAACAATATGGCTTTGAATTATATTCTCAATATACGAAGTGCTTTTTCTTAAAATGACATATCCTCGCCCAAAATACATGGACTAAGGAAGCTGCATAGTAACTATACTTCAGATATATAAAGACTGTATAATTGATTTCGTGGAGTTAAAATTCCGCATTTTTGTCGGGAACCTATTCATGGGGGTTTAATATCGCTAATGACAATTTCTGAAAGTCTATTTCAGAATACCTTGCAAAGAGTTCCGAGTGCTTGTTACTACTAGCATAGAACAACCTGATGATCTCAAAATAATCACGAGGGTTTCAATTTCGTGAATTTTAATGCATTTGAAAAATTCTCGAAACTAAAACCCATGTGAATATGCAATGGAACATTATTGAATTATTTCAGCTCCCTTACATTTTCTTTAGGAATTCCAAAATTGACTTTCAGTTTTGTAAGTGGTATTTTTAACTTGAATTAGTCTTTGTCATACATATGTGTGATATTACACTGTTAATGTGGCTGAAAATAAAAAGTCTATGAAGTCCTTATCCGTCCCAACTCAAAGGTAAAAATATAAGTTATTTCCTAAGATAAGGGGAGGTAACCCGATTTATCCATCGAAGATTGCAGCTGTTATATCTTTTGCTCATAGCAAAAATGAAGGCACGTGGCTGGCTATTTGATTGGTGTCGGGTAAAAAAAACCTGACCAATCACTAGGCTGATGCTTGTCCTTTGAAGATTACAAAGGAGCGACGCCCGACTTCAAAGCCTGTCAATTTTTACTGCTACGCGACCGCAAGATTCTTTTGAGGTACATCAAAAGATCGCACTTAGTCTTCTCGTCTTATCGACAAGGTGGTGCACATTGAGCCTCCAATTTTGCTATGACATATTCCAGGGGTGTAGAGAGCAAACGTGAGCGTAACCCCTGGATATCAAGGATGCTGTTATATATGTGTGTTATGTAACTAAGGCATGCCTGTCTGTTGTGTTTATGTGGTGACTTATATATAAATATGTGTGCCCATCCCCAGGGGATATCTGATTATATTTGGAGTAGAAAATTGTATGTAGGTGACGATAGATACATGGAGGTTCCCCAACGAGTGGTGGTTGGTTATCATGGTTATCTAACTTGAATTAGTTAATTTTTCAAATTTAATAAAGACACTAGGTTTACCGAGTGTCTTTTACAATTTGAAAATGAACTCTCGAGAGTTAGATAAACATGATAATCAACCATCTCGAGTATATTTCTAATTGATTAACTTAAATGGGTTTTTTATATTTTTTTATAACTGTATAGTTCTTTTAACAGTACCTCCGTCACTAAAATGATTTTGAGCTCACCTGGCCCAAAGGGCCAAGTGAGCTTCTGGCATGGTGCGGCGTCCGTGGTCCGTCCGTCGCCCGTCCGTCGTCAACATTTTACTTTTAAACAACTTCTTCTCAGTAACCAAAAGGCCTAGGGTGATGATATTTGGCCAAAAGCATACTGGGATGAAGGGCTACCAAGTTTGTTCAAATAAATGACCTTCATCCATTTTCAAGGTCACAGGGGTCAAATATGTTAAATCCTTTAAACAACTTCTTCTGAATAACCAAGAGGCATAGGGTGATGATATTTGGCCTGTAACATGCTGGGATGAAGGGCTACCAAGTTTGTTCACATACATGACCTTGACTTACATTCTAGATCACAGGGGTCAAATATGTTTAAAACATTTAAACAACTTCTTCTGAATAACCAATAGGCCTAGGGTGCTTAAATTTGGCCAGTAACATGCTGGGATGAAGGGCTACCAAGTTTGTTTAAATAAATTACCTTGATTTATATTCAAGGTCACAGGGCTCAAATATGTTTAAAACCTTTAAACAACTTCTTCTGAATAACCAAGAGGCCTAGGGTGCCTAAATTTGGCCAGTAACATGCTGATATAGAGGGCTAATAAGTTTGTTCAAATAAATGACCCTGGTTTATATTCAAGGTCACAGGGGTCAAATATGTTTAAAACCTTTCAACAACTTCTTCTGAATAACTGATAGGCCTAAGGTGATGATATTTGGCCAGTAATATGCTGGGATAAAGGGCTACCAAATTTGTTCAAATACATGACCTTGACTTATATTCTAGGTCACAGGGGTCAAATATGTTTAAAACATTTAAACAACTTCTTCTGAATAACCAATAGGCCTTGGGTGCATACATTTAGCCAGTAACATGCTGGGATAAATGGCTACCAAGTTTTTTCAAATCAATGACCTTGATTTATATTCAAGGTCACAGGGGTCAAATAGGTTAAAAACCTTTAAACAACTTCTGAATAACCAAGAGGCCTAAGGTGATGATATTTGGCCAGTAGCATGCTGGGATGAAGGGCTACCAAGTCTGTTCAAATAAATGACCTTCATCCATTTTCAAGGTCACAGGGGTCAAATATGTTTAAAACCTTTAAACAACTTCTTCTGAATAACCAAAATGCCCAGGGTGATGATATTTGGCCAGTAGCATGCTGGGATGAAGGGCTACCAAGTTTGTTCAAATGAATGACCTTGACCAACTTTCAAGGTCACAGGTGTCAAATGTTTTAAAATCTTCAAACAACTTTTTCTCAATAACCAAAAGGCCCAGGGTACTTATATTTGGGCTGTAGCAATCAGGGCTACCAAATTTGTTCAAATGAATGACCTTGACCCACTTTCAACCTAATGTCATTGTTTGACATTCAAGGTCACACTGATATTCTGCCTGTTGCTGTATTTTTGTCCACTATTAAGATTACAAGTGTGAGATTAATACCAGGTGAGCGATGCAGGCCCATTGGGCCTCTTGTTCCAAATGCCACCACTCTAAAGTGTTAGTCAGGAATACAACAGGCTAGTTTCTTTTCTCTGAACTTGACTTGTTCGTTTTTGCCACAAAACTAAAACCAACCATTTTTCTGTCTAATCTTGATTACACTACCGTGTCCGTCGGATTTCAGAATTTCAGTATTGACTGAAATATTGATACATAAAAAGTACGCGAGCGGACACGAATCCCAAAAAAGGAAATGTGCAATCATGTTTGTAGTATTGGAGGCTGTGAAAGATTTAAGATTGAATTAATCCAAGCAACTTATAAATGGTATCTAAAATTCTGCCGCGTTTACATATAGAGCAGAGGTTGGCCTGAGAGTTATCTCATGCAAATGTCTTTCATTCTTACAATTTCAAGATTACAATGCAACAAGACAGTATAACTCGTTAGTATATCGTCCAAGTACCAACCGTATGCTGGCTTGTACTATCCAAGCGCCAATCAATGTCATTATAGCATACCCATAATATCTCGGAACTGGTCAATGTTAGTAGACTCGTTTAATCCTATAACAGATTATATATCGGCAGACCCGTCTTCTCCGAGTACCAGTCAGTGTTAACGTCACTGTACCCAAATCGGGACACTTTTTAGATACATATCAATGGTCCTTATACCATACTATCAGTTCCAAAAATGTTTGTTCATTTTTCATAAATCTTCTATCCACTTTTCAAGTTGATAAAACGCGAAATACCATCAGGGTTACGGAGGCCCTACTCCTATATTTTGTATCGGACTGCGAAAGTATCTCGCCGTGTAAACCTCTAACACTGTTGGAGTACGTAGGCTCTTGAACCCCTGAAAATAGTACGCAGAAAAATATGCATAGTTGAAATATTTTAGATTCAACGAGGGTTCCGATTACATTTCTTTTTCAAACTAGCATGAGTTTTGATGAAATAGACTTTTGAAAATGATATCCAAATAAATAGCGTCGTAAATCAGGAAAGTTTTGTTTTGGTAATTATTCTTACATTTAAATTGCCCATGTAACGATAATCAGCAGCCAATGAAGCTTACACACAGTTACATTGCCATAAAAGTATTACCAAATGAAAACTGCATTTATAAAAGTACTTCTTTGCAATGCATGACAGTTTCTTTGGCCGTTTTCCCACAAGTGTCACGCATTTTGGGTATTGTCCTGATTTGGGTACAGTGACGTTAGCAGACGGTCCTTGAACAAGACAGTCTGTTAGCAGATGTGTATACCACCCTAGAACTATTGACCGACGCTTGCTTCTAGCACCAGGGACTCTCAGAACTGTTAGCTGATTCGAACTGTCTGTTCAGTGTTAAATGATGCCCGGCTCTGTCCGACGTAGATGATTTTCCCTCAATGTGCTCTGCTGTAACGATCGAGACTTGTCCTCTTTTCCAGATATAACCTGGAAAATCCAACACGACAGTCTGTTAGCAGTTGTGTATACCATCCTAGAACTATTGATTGACTCTACCTTCTAGCATCAGTGACATCAAGCTGATACGCGCTATCTTAGAACCAATTACTGTTAGCAGCCACAAACTGTCCGTTCAGTGTTAACTGATGTTCGGCTCTGCCCGACGTAGTAGATTTTCCCTCAGTGTGCTCTGTTGTAAAGATCTAGACTCGTACTCCTCTCCAGATATCACCTAGAAAATATAAATAAAACAATCAGTAACAATTTAATTGAAATGAAACTTATCGTTTTAACTAGTTTTGTTTCTGGAATGAAAAAAAATAAGCTGGACGAAAGCCTTCATTCTAGGCACAGGGGTACGCAACTACTATTAATATTGATCTTAGACTGAAAGTCTAACAAGGTCAATATTATAGTAGCTGCGTGCCCCTGTGTTCTAGGGACATCACAATAGATCAATAAATGACAATCTCGTGGTAATGAAAGAAAGGCTGCATTGGGTTTTGACACTTTTGAAATAATGATTCACTTTAACTATATAACAATGCACACATCCTTAATAAGGTCACGACAAATAAAATAGACGTATTAGCAAAGGATTGTTTTCAAAGGAGACATCAGAAAATGAAAAGGGGATGTGGGGAAAAGGATATTAACCCAGTCGTCAGTCCTCGATTTCTGGAACAGAATCTCTAGCTTGGACTAAAATTTCCCCTTAAGTATTTTTAATGATGTACTGTCTTTGTTATGACTTTATATTCAATTAATTGTAGTATAAGTTGTAAATATCATTTTTCTTCTTTCGTCCTTTGTGAAATAATGAAATGGCCTTGTGAAATGCTTTCCTTTATAATATGAAAACTGAATGGGTTCATTTAACTTTTTTAATGGAATTGGAAAACCTACCGATAATTAAAAACTATGATGAACAGAAAATGACCGAGTATTTTAGATTAATTCAATGAAAATCCAATACTTTTGTGTGTGATGAATTAAGATGATTGAGAAAACTTCGTATCTTCAGCCCCATACCCCATGGTCGTAAATGATGCACCAGAAAGAGCAATGTCATAATACTCGGACATACTAAGTACCAGGTATGAGCAAAATTAAACAGAGGGACAGTTTGCATCACCTTGGCACACACCAATAAACTTGTTATAAATCTCGGGCCGTCATGGCCTGAGATTAATAACTTGCTTGATGACCGACCTGAACAGGAATCACGTTACGCACATTATGCCCATTAAATCACCATGTGAAGTTTAGCTAGTAGTCTGAGTAAACGCCCGGAACCCATAAGCAGAAGAAAAATAACAAGAAGAGTAATAATTCCCCAAACTTAATAATTTCATGTGCAATAGATCGAAACGATGGAAAGGGGCATGAAAACACCAATGGGAAGTTTGCTAGATCTATAGACTAATGGACAAGTTATAGGTAGGTACCCACTACACTCCCACACATCACCTTCTTATGATGATCCTTGTGGTTATTTCGAATCGTTCAATACATAATTCAAATTTTAAAAAGAAATTCAGAAAGAAATTTAAAAAGGAAATACAGAAAGATAATCGATGGATAAGTTGAAGTGGTAAAGTGCTAAGGGAGGCTACATCTACCTATTGTTTCAAATATAGTTTAAGTAACTGCATTTTATTGTCATATATCTCCCTAAAATTGTAATATCACCAACAGTTATTAAATTATTCCCTGTATAGGAATATTACAAGCTGTCTAGGTAAAAATTCGGCATTTGGGTTCAACCAATACACGTCATCTCTTTAAACCCCAGTCAATAATAAACTGCCACTTGAAATCGAAACTGACCTTGTAAATACACAATGGCGTGAACGTTCCCGACCCAGATTCGAACCTTGCACACAACCTCATATCCGTCCCCCTTGCGCCAGTGTTAACCTTTCCCGTCCACAACGACGAGTTGGAGTCTGATTTTTCTAGATGGAACCAGCCACCACTTGTTACTACGGCAACATCGTGAGCCTCGTTTAGCTGAAGAGAAAACATCACTTCTGATTTGGCGGGAATTTGACCGGAGAGCGGCGAGTGAAGACAGAAATTGAGCGGAACTTCGCGAGTCCTGCTCGGAAACGGCGCCCAGTTGGCACACGGAACCTCCGCAAGGATTATGGCATTGTGCCAACACGCCGTTGAACCGTCTGGTGTCTCTACATAGAGGGAAAGAAGGTAGGTCCCTATCCTAGGCAGTAGAACCGTACACGAAAGAAGCTTGTCCTCTAGATTACATTTTGTGTATACAGTCATGTCCATGCAGTCCCTCCCCAGCATTCGTAATTGTATGGAGCTGCTGGCGATATGTTCGTGGTCGAATACCGGCTGAAGAACGACCTCGCCCGTAACTGGGGCTGTAGAGAACGCCGTGAGCCACTCGTTTTGGTTGAAACCCGCGGTCAAACCTGCCTTGGTGGTGCCAAGTTTGTTAAAACTGTCTGTGAATCCAGGGGGGAGGGAAACATCTGACGTCTTACTCGTAAAGTCGACTAGATATGAGCAGACAGCAACTGTAGAACAACTCATTCTCTGACAAATGTTCAGCACATACTGTCCAGGACCTGGGGAATGTACAAGGAAGTGGGCAAGACCATCTGACGTCCAGAAAAACACGTACCTATTAAGAACTTCATCGAACAGATCGCCCCCTGCCATTGTTACCACTATGTCTTCACTTTCACATCCGCTGGTCATTCGGAATTTGAGATGCAGGGACGAAGCATCACAGACGATAGAAGAATCGAAACAGTTTGCAGGTGACAGCCCGGCTTTAATTGTGTCGGCACCCGGTCCCCACTGGTAACGCCCTTGTGAGACTGACGGGAAAAAAGACACATCTCCAGAAACCCTGTTGCATTGTATTTTATATGAGCAAAGATGCATGCACTTGTAGGGATTTTCAAGAATATCTAGTCCATATATTGCAAGTGTAAATTCTCCGGTATGAGGTGGAACAACACGAATTACTAACTCGGAGTTGTCAGATATTCGGGTTTCCACAAATGTGCTAGAAGTGTTTTGCGGTAGAGTGATCAGCACGGGATTACCTTGAAACAGAAGTTTTGCTTCGAACAGAAGTTGGTTCCGCTCTGGGTAACGTAAAAGTATCGTGACACTTTCGCTGTCACAAGGGATCTCGTATCTGTCATGACTGTGAAGTTGAAGGTTATAGTAGAAGAAATGTGGAGTCAACAATACCATGCTATCCCATTCTGACCGACTGACGGGCCGACTCAGCTGCTGCCAGTAACGTTTCTTTGGAAGATGCGTCTGGATGAAACACAACGGGCTAACTAGCCACGAGGTACAAAATGACGGTCTATATGCCTTCCATAAGTGCTTCTCGTCCCGAAATGCAATGCGTCTTGTGGTGTCGATGTACTTCCAGATATCGTTTAGCAGAACAGCCGACCAGAGAGACAATTTGGGTTTGTCTTCTGTTCCGTCACTTACGTCAAGTTTATGATAACCGCTGATAGTTGCAGTTGGTATATCCATGGACCTGAAATATTGTATAGGCATGTTTTAACTTTAAAAACACCATGCGATATATATATGTACAGTAACTACATCACTGTAAATCAGTATTCGATGACTTGTGTATGTTTCACTATTACCAACTGTTTAGTTAACAAACGAAAGGCGGGTTCTGATGCAAAATGTGAATACGTTGAATACTTTCATTGATTTCAAGTTTTTTTGTTTGGAAATACCGTAGACCTTTATACCAACTTTTTAGACAAAGTGTCATGAAAGCTGACAACAGATTTTGATTTCAAAATGTATGAATATATAATGTATAAATAATATATTTGTTGCCATTGTTACAAATGAATTTGTAAATGTGTGCTAGTATCGTGAAGGCGTTGATAAGCTGCATTAACACGTGCTTAATGCTTTGCTCTAAGTTTGGCAATAAACACCTTTATAAACGAAACTTCAATATGTTTATTTAAATCATAAGTACAAATAATATTTTCTACAATGGTGATATACAGGCATGCATCTGGTTGGTTTAAAACGCTGATGGGATTTCTTACAGCACTTTTCTTCTTCATACCTGCATATATGATTGAAAACATGAACTCGAAGTATGTCCTCTTCGACCCATCCGTTCATTAGCTGACCAATCAAATCTTCAAGTTCTGCTCTCCGTGCAAATTGGACCAATGAAAACACACAACGTATGACGGCCTCCTTGTCGGCACACGACGTCTGGATTTGCGCAAGAACATCCTTCAAACCTACATTTTCCTAGAATGATAATAGTTTGAAAAGAATTATTTTGTTCTTCCCTATGGTGATTTTGCAGTAAAAATGTCCATGTGCATCGTTTTGCAAGTGCATTATGAAAGCAATGAGGAGAGCATCAGATCAAAGCAGGTACAAGGTAATTGAGAATTAAGAGTGGGAAGCTATAGAACTTTAAAACAATACTTTTGATCCATAGTTAAGCTAGATGTTTGTCGCTAGGTACATAGCTCTGGCTTCTGGGTTAAATGGAACAGCAATTTCAACTATGTATAAGAAGATATGGAACGTATTGTCTATCATATATAGTATCTCTATTCTGAATTAGGCTTAGCTTCGAAAACATAAATTATTAAAGAACTAATGCAAGCAATTAAGTCTACTAAATATAACGTACATCAACGTTGACAGCAAAATGTATGTGCATGTAATTAATGAGAATATATCTGTTTTACTGATATTCGAAGTCAATGGAACAGCAATATCTATTGGAAGTACACATTTTTACCATCATGTGAATGTATTCTGACATCTTACATTGTGACGAACATTTACTAAAAATTTACATACAATTCTTTGTTTCTTTTAGCTTTTTGTCTCATCAATAACCTACCTTGAGCGTCTTTGCCTTTAGACTGGACACGACAGCCTCGATTCCACACTCGACCACCGTCTCCTGTGCTATGTACGGGTGAGGAAGTGGACGGCCGGAATCATCACGAGGAGGAATAACTCTGTTTTCCTCCCACGCCTCCTGAGCCGCACGCAACACCTTCGGGGTTGGAAATTGATTGAATATTTCATTCAGTGTATGGCTGGCTTTCTCAATTGCAGTCAAATAGTCTCCGGCCATGTCAAACTCATAATTGTCCACAAAATCTTCCAGCGTTTTCGTTGTGTTTTTATCAATTTCACATGGATCTGTGTTGTTTACGTCTGCAGTTCCCGACGTATTTATTTCAGTACTTTCCATTACAAGATTTCCCAATAACTCGTTAATCAAACTTGCAGCGATTTCTTTTCCAAAGCTATCACATGCACGTGGTGTCACATTCCCGCTAGATTCCCCAGACGTGACGTCATCCGTGTCGTCATCAATATCGTCAAAGTTTGTGATAGACTCTGACACAGTACTATCGTCATTGATAGAATCAAACCTCTGGATAATCTTGGGATTTTGTTTCTTTGACGAATATAGTCCCACGTAAGCTGTGTTGATGGGTGGAATGATTTGTTCTACAACAATACCCTTTTCCCTACATACAAAATCAGACCACGTGACTTCTGTGCCCCCTGTGGCGGCAATTTCAACGACCTGGTTACGTTGACGTGGCGCCTCAGTCCGACAAAGGGCGTCGTCATCCGTCAGCTCCCCCGCTGTACTGTCGGTATCCGGGGTCGGCGCGGGGTCACTCACCTGAAACACAATAAAACGTCTTTAGTATAGATCTTGGTGTTTTGTCATTAGAATATAGATCAAGAGGCAGACAGTGACGCCCCGGTTGGTGTACAGGTGCTGTATTCAGGAACATTTATAAAATGTACACATAACCACTTGCAGTCTCCCCCGTTCTTCTTTCATGGAAAATATTTAAGCGACATTTGCATCAAGTTACGCTAAAGCGATACAGGAGAATCCGTTGATATGATTATGGATCTCGTAGCTGTCTGCCGCTTTAAGTAGTATTCCACTTCAGTCTGATCGCCTTATTATGCCCTTGCGGGGGGTAGCCAGGGCATGCCACTACTAAAATCGATAATATACACACAATTACTTGATCTGTTTCGTTTTATCTATGAATCTTCACACGTTTGGATGAAATAAAACATATATCTGGTCGTATTATGCCCTGTCTTATAAATTTAAATGCCATTTTAATGAGCATTTGTAAAACATCAAGAAAGGGGCACCACATCCGAGTTCCGAGTGACTGAAGCAGACGACAACAATTTTGGCGCGCGAGACTGATAACGAGATGCGCATCCATATTGGCAGTAAAACAGGCTTAGATAGCATTCCGTGGCAATAATAATAAACTTACTGAAATAATATGACTTATAACAACTAGCAACTCAGAATTTTGTATGCAGTTAGCCCAAGCCTGGTTAGAGTGCCGATCCTGGTCAGTGATTCTACAAGCTGACCAAGAGGTGTCTGTGATGGTTACCGCGCTTTGACCATGTCAGAAGTCACCGAAGACTGGCTTTCAGGCCCAACGCTTTTATGAAACATTTCTCAGCCGCATTTAACTAAAAGCTTGTCTCTCCCTAGCTTAGATCTTAGAATCAGACATCCAAGTGATCAAAATTATTAGACTTTCTTTTTTCTAAATGATTCAATATCTATATAATATTCTAGAGACGGGGGCAAGTCTAAAGACGCCGCAACCCTAGTCGTCTCCATCAGTTTTTAGGGGAAAATAACCTCATAGATGACATTCAAATACCGTATATCCCTGTACAAAGTGAACATAATTAATGTCAGACTGTAAGACGATTTGGTGTGACTTCAGCTGTAAATAATGTCATTGTAAAGGATTAGACTATGCAGGATCAATATATGAAGTTCTCAACATGATTTTTTCCCATGCATCGCGCACGAGCCAATTCGTTCGTTCTTTCTTTCAGTTCCATATACCTCTGTCCCTGACACCAGACTTAGACATTTTGACAGATAGATGTCCCGTGTCAGACGTGTAGTCTATCTGTCAAAATGTCCAAGTCTGGTGTCAAGGCAAGAGGATACTCGGGCATTTGCATTTGCATCGTTATCTTATCTTTCAAATATTATCCATCTTTGTTAAAGTTAAATTTACTTACCTAAGCCACAGTCACATGGAAGACGAAGTTCTGAGTGTGGCTCATGTATAAAGACACAACAGGGTCATCGTACTGATAATGGGAGATGGTGTTTGATGTTTCGGTGCCCGTCTGTGTATTGGTGACAGCAAGGGGTCGTGGTGACAATTACACGGATCGGTATGATTATCACAGGGATCGGACACACGTTATCACGTGATCTAATTATTAACAATGATGAAGCATATAGTAATCTAGTATAGCCGTTGTGTTACATCTACATGAAATGATGTCGAACTTCGCCAACGTGAAAATAGGTCACACTGTGTCGGCACATTGGGAGTAACTCAACCAAGTTATATAATACAAACAATCGATTATAATAACAATACACCATCACTATTGCGTCAGGCCCCTGTGAACTAGTATAGAAGTTTAAGTATCTATATGTTTTTATCTAATCACAATAATCCTTATAAGCGATTTAAAGAGACTAGTCCGGTACAATTACCCAAATTTGATAACTTATCGCTAGTATATTCAACAATGCATGAAAAGATTTTTATCATATTTCTTCATGGCAATAATTAATTTACTGATATAAAGAAATAGTCGCGACAATTGTTTTTATATAAATATATATCTTTTGTTCTATCTCGTTGAATTTTGTTGAATAACAATTTTTTAAATTGTATGCGAACGAAGTGCTATAATACATGTACCAGTTTCCACCTAGTCAAATGTACATACCTTGGGCACATTCTACACGCAACCGTATTTGTGAGAGGGGCTTATCTCATGGTCCGTATATTTGTATACATATATTTTACGGCCCGTGGAGTGGGGAATATGTACATGCCACGCCTCTTTGATTGCCATGACCATTTTCAGTAGTCTTATCGAGTTTGACAACACACGCGCACCTGTTGTGGTCAGTTTCGAGAATTTTGCAATTAACGCCAGACTTGGACATTTTGACAGATGTATGTCTGCACATCTATCTGTCAAAATGTCTGGGTCAGAAGAAACCTAGGCTACTGTACGTGTCACGGTTATCATTTCCTGTCGCTTATGAAACGGACTACGCACGTGCACATACATTTAACACGCATTCTTACCTGTTGCCGATGAAGTTTGACCACACCCATAGCACCTGTTCCGCACATACGGGATGCTGATGACCCCATGCTATCCGGCTTGAAATCGATGGCTAAAAGTCAGCTGAACTTCAACAATGTGCTAAATTAATTGGCGAAATTATTTAGCCGTTCAACATAATTCGCTGCACTCGAGTTGAATTAATTATTTCCGAAAATCAATTTCTTTGTTTACATCTAACTCCATCTCGTGGCTAAATCAAATATCTGTTTGATAAAAAGACGTTTTACTGCATGCACTATTAGTCGTGTCCAGTGCAAATCAAATATCGTTGTAGGCTGTAATGAATGTGTAATCAAACCGCGTTTAATTTAAAGACTTCAATATATGAACCCCGAAAAGTTTCGTCAGATAATAAAACAAAGAATATCTACATTGTACATGTGTATTTGTAGCTAATAACGTGTGTGAACTTTAACGGCAGACGACACCTCTCAGATTACCTTAGAATGTCGTACAGGTGTATCAACTACCTGTAATTAACGATACATTCAGGTAAAACTCGTTCACCTGTAACAGTTTTTGTCTGCGGAGCTGAGATAAGAAAAGACAATGTCTCCGCTAAACCAGAACCTGTGATACATGTGGTGTTGGTAGACCTTGCTGGTTCTATTCGCGTGTTTGTACACTACTAACCGTGTAACATTCAGATAAAACAATATGTACAACACATCGATACTTTAAACAGTATCTGTGTGTGAAGTACTGCTCATTTTGTTTGTACATGACAAGCTTTAATTAGGTTGATATGACCAGGTTAAAGTTCACCGGTCGCACCAGAACTTTTTTCTCTGTTTTTGTCATCCCGAGAAAGTGTCATATCTGGTCATGACCAGATACAACAATCATACTTACTCTGTAATATCTGGTCACAGTGGATAAACACAAATGTTCGATACCAAGAAACAAATAATGCATATACTGATATTTTCGCTTCAGATATGGGACAAATTGTTATAAGCTTACCTAACTTAAAAGCAACTTAACGAAAGCTTAAAATCAAATAAGTTTGGTTTGGTTCAATTTTGTTTAACGTCCTATTAACAGCTAAGGTAATTTAAGGACGTGCCTTTATGTGTGTAATGTATGCGTGTTTGCGTGTGTGTATGCAGGAGACAGGGTATGTTGGCGTACTTGCCTCCTTGTGATAGCGCGGATCTGATGCCGACTTCATAGTGCTATCTCACTGAAATACCATGCTGAAGGCACCCAGCCCAGCATTACGCCCGGTCATATTATACTGACAACGGGTGAACCAGTTGTTGGCATTCCCCTTCATGCTGAACGTTAAGCAGGGAATAACAACTAATATTTTTAAGGACTTGTGTATGTCCCAACCTGGGGACAGAATCTATTGACTTCCTCACCTCGGCGAAAGCCAAAAGTGAGATGTTGCCAAGCAAGGCGCTAGGAAATAAAAGGTAGTTAGAAGTAGAAAGAAAGATATAGATCCAGCATATTGTAATGGGCGCAGCAGATTTATTTTGGTCGCTTCCGTGTCCCCAAATAGAGGACACTAAAGCAAATCCCCAATTATGCAGGGGGTTCCTTCATTAGTCGCCTCCTTCGATACATACAGTGGGTAACAGCAGGTGTATTCTTATTCCGATTCCCTACCTGCAGGGGTGAATAGTATGTATCAATTTCATGAAAACAACACGAAAACGCTTGTAACTCTTTTACATAAGTCTTGTCATGATGTATTGCTTTTCCGGGGAAAATATTTGAAATGTTAACTCGAAAATCGGTTTCTTTAAATGAGTATTATAACTATGTACATATACGTGTAAGTGTATAACTCACATTTCCGACAGTGCTAGTGGATTTTCACAGTAAAGTGATATACTACTCACAGCTTAGGGACCTGAGAATTTGTTACAGCACGGAATTAGATTAAGTCCGTTGTTACAGCTTTATTTGGACCTAAACCAAGGTGTTCAGAGTAATTGTACATGTTTCATGGGTTTCGATCAACTTTCGGTAAAACCCCGAAAACTTTTAAAAATTACTCATTACTTATATAGCTGTGACAAATTCTCAGGTCCCTGTGATACCAATAATCCGGATTTTCTTCGCCGTCACATTTTCGGTTTTAGAGACCGCACTTAAACATCCGGGTGACGATTTGTCAGGGTTGCAGATGCTGTGCGAGGAGAAATAGGACGTGTAACAGACTTTGCCTCGGTTGATTTACTTATATACGTCATGGACGCCCATGTAAGTAAATAACCTTCTCGTCATGAGGGGTAAATATATGTTTTAAATGACAAATAAAACCCCATTCATACACACAATATATTCACCTTTTAGCTAGTCCGAGATAACTGGCTAAATGTGTCCACTACTCAATCCAGTATTCAATAATTACTTTGATAACATAAGAGAACGTTGGTCGGCTATTTTTATAGAATATAATTTTGCCGACTTCGGCGATTCTCATAAGTATCTCGCTTCTAACGTTTATCAGTTACTGGATCACCGGCAAGACTGGCCACATACTACTCCAACAATGTTAGACGTTTTGCACGGCGAAACGAAAAACGTCTGACAGGCGCCGCGTAACAGTCGGCAAAATCATATCCGATAGAAAAAAGGCCGACCAGCGGCCTCTCATGTTATGGGAGTAGCTACATACATGTATATAGGCAGATTTGGCCATGCTCGTAATATATAAGACGAATGTAATCAAACAACCACTTACTGGTAATATTTATCATGTGCACTTCGATAAAATTGTTCACCAAACAGATGAGTTGGAGAAATAAAAGATTATTATATATTAAAACAGTTAATTACACAATTTTATTTGATTAGGTGAATTTCGGTTGTTGCATTTCTTTCCTGCCCGCATGTGTCCCTTATAGGCTTATAAGTATCCCTTATACATGTAAGTATAAAAGTATAGCACATGTCTATTCAATATGGCATCAATGTCTTCCCAAAGATAAGCATCCCGAAGATGCAGATTCATGCCTCAGGTTTGCTTTCGGATATTCCGAGTTGGAATGATAACATGCAATGAGTGTTGTTCATGTGCCAAGAGGGAGTGAAATATTTGGTGTTTTGTTAAAGAAATTGTTAATATTCCTGTCTAACCATCAGATACAGAGGATAAAAGATGCTAGTACCAAAAATTGCAACGATGAAAATCTACAAAATCACCGGAATTGCGGCCACTGCGAATATTAGTCATCAATTTCCAGAGTATAAAGAACAAGGGATCAGAATTGCAAGTAATTGTTGATTCTGCCCAACTTGATATAATCCTCAGCACCGAAACCAAGTTAAATGACAAGATTGACACTGGAGAAATCTTCCCCCCAGAGATAGGATTTGATGTACTCCGCAGGGACTGAAGAGGAGATACACATGGAAGGGTACTCATCACTGCTAAACCTGAGCTTGGCCTGACACATACACATACTAGCCACAACATAGAGCTGTTGACAGGTAATTTACAAGCTGGACCAAGGAAGCAAATATTAATCTGCTTCTATAGACAACCTAACAGAAACAACAAGTCATACACTGACACAGCCATAGAGGAACTAACCGTACTCAGATCAGCAAATAAGAGGAAAATTTTCATAGTTGGTGGAGATTACAACTTACCTGATATTGACGGGGGCAATAATACCATCACAAGCAGCCAGGTACCAGCAACAACTAACCAAGCCTACCTGCAACTATCGGCCGACTTGGCCATGCAGCAGGTGGTAGACAAACTGACACGGGTGAAAACATATTAGATTCCCTATTCACCACCCACCCCCAGAAACCATGAATAGATGTAAAACATTGCCCCCCCATGGGTAACAGTGATCATGATATTGCTATGATTGACTGGACAACCAACATTGTTCTTTGTAAACCATCCAGACGAACAATCTACCCATGGAAAAGAGCCAATATGGAGGCCTTGAAGGAGGAACTGAAGAGCAACACCCAACATTTCGGTAAATAATCACACAACAACATCAATGATATGTGGAATAGCTTCAAGGACACTCTCTCTGGAGCGCTAGATAAACATGTTCCCTCACGTCGCACACTTGGCAGATGTATACTCGCATCCATGGATGACAACAAAACTACGCAGACTCAGCAAACGCAAGCAGATTCCAGCCTTCATATATACTCAAACAGGCAACACCAGAGATTGCCCCATACCTTCACTAAACAGAGGAACTGGAAAAAGACATGTCGATGCCAACTACAGATTAGTCTCGCTTACGTCCATATATAGCATGCAAGATCATGGAGTACATCATCCACAGCACAGTCATGGACCACTTCGACAGGAACCAGATCATTCACAACGATCCTGTGAAACCCAGTTACTCATGACCTTGGATGCATTGGCTCGTAACCAGGACCAGGGCTTCCAAACCGATGTTATCTTATTGGACTTCACAAAGGCTTCCGACAAGGTTCCTCATAAGAGACTACTAAAGAAGCTGGACTACGATGGAGTGAGAGGTACTACCCTGCAGTGGATCAAGGATTTCCTATCCAAACAGATTCAATCTGTCGTATTGGACAGCGATACCTCGGATCCACTAGATGTCATCTCAGGGGTTCCCCAGGGGACAGTACTCAGTCCACTTCTTTTCTTGGCCTTTATCAATGACCTGCCTGAATAAAAATCGTCAGACACCAGGTTATTTGCAGACGACTGTGTCCTGTTTCGCTGCATTAGAACACAATGCGAGCCCCAGACATTGCAGAATGACATCACCTCACTAGAAGAATGGGAGAAGAAATGGCAATCCTGAGAAGTGCAATCCTGAGAAGTGCACTGTCATAAGGATATCGGGGAGGAGACAGCAGTTACCAACATCCCATACCCTGCATGGACACCACTTAGAAGTTGTTGACAGTAGAAAGTACCTGGTAGTGCTTATCAACAAGGACCTCACCTGGAACAAGCACATAAACCAGTGTGTCGGCAAGGCATCAAGGACTCTTGGATTCCCCAGAAGGAACGTCGGGAGGTGCACCCTGAGAGCCAAAACCAATATGTACAGCACCCTTGTCAGGCCGACCCTGGAGTACGCAGCTTCAGTGTGGGATCCACACCAAGCCTCTCTTGTTGCAGAAGTGGAACAGGTCCAGCGACGTGCTGCCCGCTTTGTCTACAATGACTACTAATCCAGGACTCCTGGATGTGTAACAGCCATGATAGAACGACTAAGATGGGAATCTCTACAACAACGGCGATCTAAATCATGCACAAACTAGTCAATGTTGACCCCGCCCCATATTACCAGGCAAGTGACAGCAAAACAAGAGGACAGCAAAGACTACGACAGAGGAGAGTGAACTAGGAAGTCTACCAATCTTCCTTTTTTCCCCAGATCCACCAGGGAATGGAATAAACTCCCAGAAGAGGTAGCAACATACATCAGCTAAACTGGCTGAGTTTAGGGCCAAGCTCGACACTATTGCTTGGCCGCTCAGCACCCGGTAGACTAGCAACCTCCGATCCTGTATATAGTTTTAACATACTGTTTTTAACCTTTTGGGGAAGCCTCCTGTTTTATCAATCATGTACTGAGTCAATTTACACTCCAGTATCAGGAGATCGACTCAATACCGGAAGAAGAAGGAGAAGAAGAAGAATTTAGTTTTTAGATGAAAATCTTTTGTTTCACCGACTCACCTGTTTGTCCACCAAATTTCTAATGTACACAAGGAAATTGCGACCACAATTGGCTTGTTTGTTTACATTTGTCCTATATACATATAGTCATATTTGACTATATAGCCAGATTTGTCGGTGCTCCAGTACCTGTCAATGGAGTATCCAAAACTAAAATTACAGCACAGGTAGCCTGAGTTTCCTCTGACTACGACACTTAAGTGACATATCCGGTGACATTTATCTGTTAAAATGTCTAAGTCTGGTGTCAGGGCCAGAGGAAACTTGGGCTACAGCACCGGTTGTAAAATAGAATATCCAGGAACAAGGTGATTCAATTTTACCCCTTTTACCCCTATATAACCGTAGACTCTACCATGCATTGATCTGGATGAATCCTTTATGGTCTATAGTGGTGAAAGGATTAGAAATGTACTATCTTCTATAGTATCGTGTTAAATATGGTACAGTGCAGTAGGAGAAAGTTTTGGTTGAATTTTTTGTACCAAATACATGTTTTTTAACTTTAGTCACAGGAGGTGCTCCTGAAGAAGCGACTTCAGGGCTTTCTTAGCGAGATGTTAAAAATGGGTACTCTAAAAGGCTTCAAGCACTTCGCAACATACATGAGAGGAAGAGAGGAGATGGTAATCAGCATTGTGAACGAACCACAGGTACATGTACTGAAATGACTCTAAATTAAGTCTCACTGTTGTGATAAATAGTGCAATTTATAGCTGGTATTGATTAATCTGATTATTGCATTGGGTAATATATATATAATGTTTGAGGTAGCCAGTCATTCCTTGTTATTTTCAACCCACACTGAAGTGGCAGCTTTAAACTCTTATAACACTGCTGTTTGAAAAAACTTAACTCTTTATATCATTGAATTAATCAGATTTATACTTTAGATAAAGTACAACTTAATTTTACTACTTCAATCTGTCTTAGGAAACTTTCACTTTTATAAAGGGTTTTCACGAATTAGAAAAAGGAAAAATTGAACCTGAGATATGATGTTGTCAAAGTTATGAGTGAAAGAGTAAATTATATCAAAGTTTCACTGCAGTCTACAGCTTACTTGTATAATGGTTTCACAATTCATTTACATCTGTATAGTTTGGTCAAACCAAAATATATGTGCTTCCTGTAACAAGTTTGAAATAATTAGGGTACTGTAAAGTAGCTAGGTAGGTAAAAAAAAATGATTTAAAAAAAAAAAAAAAAAAATTGTACTGTTTATATAGGAGAGTATCTTGACTTAAACAATTATTCTTCAAAAATTACGTAGGGTAGTAAAGTTACAAAAATACTTTTTGCTTGGCCTTAAATATTATGATGTTGGAAAAACACACAATTTCTTCTTATATTTCTCATTTATCTGTGTGATGTAAAAGTATAATTTCAGGGACAAACAATAAAATATTAGGTTAAGATCTGATTGTTTTGTTAACAGACAACTCATCACACATATGTGTCGGAATCCGGAGGCACAGGATTTAGCTCCCCTGATAGGAGTGGCAGTCTCACGTCACAAAATCTACCTTATGATAAGTGAGTAAGATTGTTTATCACAGGTTATGCATATATATTTTACTTCTATATATACATTTTTATCACATAATGTACTGTGTTATCCAGTGAATATACCCCTGTCATATTATGTTTTTGCGTATTAACCCATGTTATGTTACCTATCAGCCCTGTGTTTGATTGTAAGTTCCAATTATCTCAATTGTGACGTCACACTGAGGACAAGTACATGACGTCACAGCACTGGAGTCGAAATGGTAGCATTTTACATTTCAAGGTTGCATGAAAATTGTAGTTTTACATGATTGATGCGTCAAAACTTGATTGTGTGATAAAAAGGATCTTACATTCATTTTCATTTTATATGAAATTAATTAAACTCGTCAAAAACGTTTTTCATTTTAACACGCCAAAGGCTCGTCTAAATTCTTAGACTCGTTTCATAAATCTCATATGAAATGATTTAATGTAATCTCATGTAAGATCTTATGTATATAAATTTGTGCAATCTTTTATTTTAGATTAAATCTGTGTGGAAAGACAATACAGTTAACAACTTTGTATCCAACTTTAACTCTCTCTCTCTCTCTCTCTCTCTCTCTATATATATATATATATAGCTTGTTTAAAAATCTTCACATTTCTGATAAAATCAGTATTTACCGAACATACTTGTAATGGTAATTTATTTCATTTGCAATGATTATTAAACAAGACCTACTACTCAATCTGATTGGAATGTTTGGAAATGCACAGGGGGTATTAATGAAGGAGGGAAGAGAGTGCTAAGGGAAAAAAACATGCAATTGGACAGGTTACGATTTCCCAATGTGGAATGAAACCTGGTCCTTTTAGAGAAAAGCTGGTATCCTATTCTCTACAATATTTTACTATCCAAAAAAAATACAATGTTTATTGAATTTATTGCCAGTTGATAAAAAAACACATGTTTAACTAAAAATGTAGCTACATGGAAACAAAAAACTAGTATCTGGTGAACTAATGTAGTCTGAGTCTACAAAATACATTTGTTTCAGACGATCCCTGTTAATATCTATGAGATCACAGATGACTTTGAGTACAGCCCCAAAAGGGGTTGGCCTTCCCCCAGCTTCACCCAGTGATCAGGAAATACAGATCGGAGTAAGTGGTTTTGCAGAATGAACTTATTTATTTGTAGGATTTAAAAAAAAATCTATGTGATTTTAACATTAACAGGAAATTATACATGCAGTCTGCAATCATAGCACATTGTAATAGAATGAAAAATTCAAATAAACATGGATTTATGTAGATGGTATACAGGTATCCAATGCTAAAATTTATGGCAAACTGATAATGTTGTGGCAGGGTTCAATTGTACAATTAAGGTTGCCTTCTAGCTTCGAGCTAGAGGGAATTTCCCTTTAGCTCAGTGGTAGAGGGTCCAACTAGGAACCTGGAGATCGAGGGTTCGATCCCCGGTGGAAGCACACTATTCTCTTTCCTGTTACAATTTTAATGTTGTTATGTGACCTCATAGTTCATGGCAATTGTTTCTTGATCAGAAACAGGAATAATGCATTCCCAAGAGAAGCAAATGATTTTCTAGATGAAATATCTGAACACTTTCAGTTAATATAAACGGTAAACCTCATGTCTTTATACAATTGGAAGATTAGCTACCTGGAGTTAGATAAACATGATAACCAATCACCTCTCATATATAGGACCTCTCTGTTTACTATGGACAGTACATTTGGGGAATTTCTTGACTAAAGGTTATATTTAGTATCCACGAAAATCCAGTCATTGATTTCATCTCTTACATTATCTTGTTGTACCCATTACAAGTCATAGGTTATTTGATGATTTGTGTTTGAAGGGAGAGGACTCCACCCTGTTCCTGGTGGCCGGGTACGCACGGTACTGCTGTCCCTACGTGTGGGTGAGGTCTAACCATGAGCGACTCATCAAACTGACCGGTGACTCGGCTAATGACAAGGACTGCCCACTCAAGCTCAAGACGACTTTACACTGGAAAGACTCGGGTATGTACTACCTATAAGAAAAATAGAAGTAAACAAATCAGTTAAGTTTTTGTACTGTTATATATCAGTTAGGAAATACCCATCCTCGATACTCCAGGATATATCTAGATATGCGAAAGCAGCCTTAATTAAGGCTGCAGAATATATTTTTTTTAAATAATTAAATCTGACATGTTCCTCTGTGAAAAAAAAGGTATTTTCATATGTGACTACCACGATTAGTGAAGAAACATTGTATATGTTGAAAAAAACTTGCTCTGGTATTTTCTTGAGCAGAAACATACAACAAACCGATGCAAAATTGAAATATTCAGATATTGATTCTGGAGTTCGTTATTAAATTGTGTGATGTTACTTTTGGTTTAGTATGGTTTAATTTTGTTTAACGACCTATTAACAGCTAGGTCATTTAATGACATGCCTCCATGTGTGTTGTGTATGCGTGCTTGCATGTATGTATGGAGGAGACAAGGTATGTCAGTGTACTTGCCTCCTTGTGATAGTGCGGATCTGATGCCAACTCTATAGTGCTGTCTCACTGAAATGCCATGCCACAAATTACTAAATTATACTAAAACAAAATTTGGATTTAGTTTTAACTTCAAATTTTGGAAGGCTGATCCTGATAATTTCTGTGGTTTGTTTTAAAAGCCACACATTTTCCTTGAAGCCCTATAATCTGTTTTAGAAATGGACAAGGGTTATATTTTATTTATTTTTTTAAATCCTTTAGCTTTTGGCTCTGGAAATGTCAAACTCATAACTGAGATGTCGGGCCAAACATAAAAGATAACTTGAATGCAAAGTCTAGATAGATGTGATAATTGAGGGTTTGACACTTACACAAGTCCTCTAGTCCGAGACTGGTAGATTTCAGCAAGGACAATTGAGTAACCTTACCAAGCTGGTCCTTTGGACTTGTAAAAAAAAATCTTATCAAACAGTATCATTTGATAGATTAGCAAATAAGAATTTTCCGTTTAGAAAACTGCTTAAATACAGATATTTTGCATAATAATTTGTCAATTTTTTCCTAAAACTTTTCATATTATTATATTGAATTATATTATTTATAATATGAATATTTTCATGGCAGTAGAACTAGTTACTTATGTCTCCTACAGTCAATTGGTTTTTTTGCTTTTTGATGGAGATGTTTCCATAAAGAAATGATGGACTAGTTACATTGACATTAGGACTAGCAAATAACCTGTTCAACTAGTCCTGTGGGATATCAATCAAAAATTGTTAATGTCTAACCTTGTATTATATATGTAGATATGTGCATCCTCGATATCCAGGGGTTACGCTCACTTTCGCTCTCTACACCCCTGGAATATGTCACAACAAAATTGAAGCCACAAATATAGATGTTTGATTGGTCTCAGGTAAAAAATCCTGACCAATCGCTATGCTGATACCTGTCCTTTGAAGATTACAAAGGAGAGATGCCCCACTTCAAAGCCTGTCATTTTTTACCGTTACGCGACCGCGAGATTCTTTTGATGTCCATCAAAGGATCAAACTAGTCTTCTCGTCTCATCTTCAAGGTGCTGCACACTGAGCCTTCGATTTTGCTATGACATATTCCAGGGGTGTAGAGAACTGGGGTGAGCATATATAACCCCTGGATATCGAGGATGAGATATGTGTATCATGTTTCAGATTACAACGTGTGGGACATTGTGGCAGAACTGGTGAAGCTGTGTTGTTACCCAGCCCCTATAAACCCGTACGAGATTGACTTTGATTACTTTGACAGCCTGACCCTTCCTGAGCAGGTGTTGGCTACAGCAGCCATGAGTAACTTTCTACAGAAGGTCCTCGTTCATGTGCCAGACGATAAGGCTTACATCAGTAAAGGTATGCAACTAGGGGCAGGGATTGGTTTTTGTGTGTTTAACGTCCTATTAACAGCTATGGTCATTTAAGGACATGCCAGGTTTTGGTGGTGGAGGAAAGCCAGAGTTCCCGGAGAAAAACCACCGACCTACGGCTAATACCTGGTGACTGCCCCACGTAGGCCTCGACCCAGAGGTGGATGGCTAGTGGTAGCAGAATGCCAGACGCCTTAACCACTCGGCTACCACTTCAGGGAGCATGGAACTTAAGTCCTAACTACTGCATTAAAATGAAAATTTTTGATTTGTTATTTTATGAAATTACATTACAGTCAAAGTTCCATATATTGAACTTCAGAGATCCAAATTTCTCGATGTATCAAACCTATGGTAAAGTCTGGGCTATTTTCTATATATAACACTACTAATGTTCTATTCATGAATCAAACTTTTATGAGTCCGGTAACTCAATTTTTCAAGTATTCTGGTAATCAAGATCCATTCATTATGAAAACGCTGAAAATTGCAACTAATAAAAAATGAAATAAAAACAATTCAACTGTACAATAAAACTGAAAGGAAAATGGTATGATCGACTCTTCTTTATGCTTACGTCAAAATTTGACTGTTATTAACTTCCAATGTTTTGAAGAAAATTCTGTAAAGATAAAACCAAAATGGTAAATACTTTCATACCTCATTCATATTTGATAAATTGTTGTTAAAAAAATATATAATAAGGCAATCATGAAAACCTGAAACTTTCTTGTCCTACATTCATAAACCCATTAGAGTGATCCTATATTGGATGTATTTTTTTCTTTCAGTATTTGAAGAAATCCAACTCCTTACAAAGCTGCACTTCACAGCACTGCAAAAGGTTGCCAAATCAGGTGGCATACCTGTTCTAAATCAACACCTCCAGGCTGCCACTCGGCGGCAGCACAGGACAAGTGGTTCCTCAGTGTCTTCGCGGCAGCGGATCCCTAGTAGTGGGGAGAAATACTGGGGCGGGCAGCAGGCTCCGGCCCGGGGGTATAGCTACAGTCAGTACTGAAGGACAGACACAAGTATGCTATGGGAAGGAGGCAGTACAATCATTACCAGTTTTTTGTGGATGTGTTCAGAAGTAAACTAAATCAGTTAGCATACACTTGTTATTATTTCATAGAGATTAAATCAACGCTGCTTAATTTCTGGGCCCTTCTTAATGAAACCATTCCCACACTCAAACACAGATTCTGCTCTGAAGCAAAATGTCTTACTGCAGCTAGCGTATATTCAAATTTATATAAAAAAAAAATGAAGAATTTTAGAGACACTTAAAGCTGAATTTGAGAGAGACAAAAAGCCAAATATTGTTTTCCAAAGTTTACTGTGGACTTTTTGATCTATGTCACGTGATTAATTAATGCAAATTACAAGAAAGACATTTGGGCACAGAAACCATGCTTGAGCACGAGAACAGTTTCATGAATATGGGTCTTACTTGGTTAAAGATCAGAAATGGAATGATATTCAATGATGGTATTAGCAGGTACCAGGGCCGTTTTCGTTTAAACGGTCAAACCGGTTGGACCACTGTTGTTCGTTTATCAAATAAGGTCGGACCTAGTAATCTGATGCTGCTTTCAGGATTTATACCCGAAATTGTTACATTTATAAAAGGTCAAACCGGTTGTTCCGCATAAAGGAACAGGCCCCAGGTGTACATTACACTGGTATAGATATTTTGTATTTATGATACCAGTCATTTCTACTCGATAGCTGCCTTTCCATTGTTTGTGTTTAAATCATTTCTATATGCTTTTGAAGCATACAAATTTAAAAAACAACATTTGTATTCAGGAATCTCATGCAAGCTATGCAGATATACCCAATTAAGTCTGAGAAGAACCCCTTTTAGAAAACACACAGCACAAACTATTTATGTATTGTATGAACTGTAAGGTATACATTTTTTTAATGAAAACGGTGGGAGATAAGTATACATGGTACGTTATATGTAGGTTTGTATGTACACAATGTATATAGGTGGGGTTTCATGATGAGGTGTCTATTTATGTATTATGAGTACTTTGGCAAATGAGTTTATGACAGGGAGTTATGTTTACGTCAGGGAGTTATGTTTATGTCAGGGAGTTATGTCTACAACAGAGTTATGATTATGACAGGACATGTACAAAATTATTACAGTTATTGAATAACAATTACAGTAATTGATTATCTGGGTTATCCCATTAACTATATTTTCATTTTGAACAAGAAGTGATCATAGTCTCTGTTGGTTTTGTGTTAGAGTTGGTATGTTGTGTATAGATGTAATACAACCCCCATGTACATGTGCTGGGACCTTTACATATGATGATGGAGAGAAAATGAACAGAATTATTTTTTAGAGTGGTTTAGATATTTAATTGTATTTTAGATGCAAGATTATCAAGAGTAGCAAAACACACGTCGTAAAAATGATGATAATACATGCTGTTGTAGAATCTTTGTTTTTTTCCCATTCTTTTCAAGTTTGTGAAATTAAGGACTCTGCCATTTAAATATATACACCACCCTTAGACAGTAAAATTAATGGAGTATTTCTTGGTTTCTTGATGAATAATAGTGACAGTTCATGAGTGGGGTGAAAAGATGAAATCATACATGTTTTGGGGCATAAGTTGGGGAAAAATGTGACCTCTGGAGATTGTGTGTACATTTGAAATTAATTCAATTTCCTTATTATAATAATAGTAATAATTTGAGGTTCTTATATACCGCTTTACCACAACCTAGCGTGTAGGTCATCTCAGAGCGGTTCACAAATTATTATCTGTGGTTATAGGGCCTTTGCAACCGGTCAATATCTTTCTCAACTCCCTGTGGAGCATACAGCCGGTGCTGACTTTTCGGTGCTCACAGCTAGCATTCTACAATTCTAGCACTGCCCAACCACATACTCATTTACAGCTGAGTAGACTGGAACAAGCGGAGTAAAGTATCTTGCTCAAAGATACAACACAGTGGTGTGCTGTGACTCGAACTTGCAACCCTTCAGTCACGAGCCCGGCATCCTACCACTAGACTACCATGCCTCTAATAAAATCTTATCAAATATATGTTGCATTAATCATTTGAAAATTCAGGGGAAGGCTAAATACTTAACATGCATTAACTCATACACCCCTGCAATTTCATAATGAACTATTCCAACCTTTGATTTGGAAGAGTTCAAATGTGTATTCAGGGGTGAATAGTTTTTTGGTGTCTATTATGTGTGAAATGTTTCTGAAAGTTTGTTGTATTATTTAGTTGTTCTTGGGTAAAATAAAGTGTGTGGTTCCAATAAACCAGTTCATGAAGATACATGTAAATATTTTATTCTCTTGATTATTGAATACAAGAAATGTAAGTAAACGCATATACATGTAGCATGTATATACATACATAATTATGTACTATATATATTATGAATCTGCTTTTGGGAAATGGTTGCAATAATTTGGTCAATGTTTCAAGGGTACAAAAACTGCTGAATTTATCAAAATAAATGAAAACCTAGAAATGTTCATAACTCTTTCATCTTGGAAACCTTTCAATATTTCCCTGCTGTATAGAACCAGTAGTAGGTCAGAATGGTCTTTGTGATAATCAGGTTTCTTCCAATAAATATCACAAAGTTGAATGGCTCCTGCAAGTTCTCCTGGTCGACGCGATTCTTCCTGATATTTCAACCCTTTTCCATATTTTCACAAATTTCTCTTAAACAGAATTATTTGGACCTTCTGGGTCTGCTAGGTAACAATTTATTTTTTCAAACTGGTGATAATTTTGTGAATTATGGTAAAAGAAATTTCCTCCAACATCCCATCAACAGATTTTTTTTGATTTTTTTCCAGGTTGTTCTTCTATGAAATATTTTAGTAATGCTCTTTTCATTTCCTCATCTGTCTTAGAAAATGAATCTTGCTTTTACTAGATTATATTTAAGGGTTTATGGAGTATTGAACTCAAGAAATATATTTGAGTAATGTACATGTAGTATTTATTAAAAACAATGTAAAATGTGTAAAATAAATATAAATAACATCTAATATTTAGGTTTTGGATACATTACACTATGTGTTCATGCATACTGTCATTTGTGAAATGTCAACCAAGTGCACATGCCTGTATTGAAAATACAAAACATTGACTATGAGAAATAAAAATAAATAAAACTAACATGATCTTGTTTTTGTCTTCCTTTTTTTGGGTCAAATTGAACGACTATGTAAAACATGTGCTCTGAAAATATTGTTTGCTTTTTATACGCCCGTCAAAATTTGACGGGGGTATTGTGGTATAGCGTCTGCTTCCGTCCGTCCGGTTAAACTAAAAGTTTTGGTGAAAGTTTCTTCAGTGGTCTACAGTTCAGTCAGATCATGTCATATTGTCCTTATTGTTGGCATGGATGTTCATTTGGGATTTAATTTGGGAAAATAATTTCTATTTTTGGATATTTTGGACGTGTTTGGGACTTAACTTTTCTCGTGCAATTTCTCGGTTAAAGTACAGTTCAGTCAGATCATGTGATATTGTCCTTATGTTTGGCATGGATGTTCATGTGGGATCTACGAAGGACAAAATGGATTTAATTTGGGAAAATAATTCCTATTTTTGAAAATTTTGGACTTAAGCATCAAAAGCATCAGTGCAAGCATTTTTTATCACATAGACTTGACACTGGCTACCAGGTACTTTAAATATCAAACAAACAAAAAATCATTGGATAGGGTCAGACGGGCATATTATGCAACCGCTTGGGGTGCTCTTGTTGAGAGTTACAATAAGAAGTTGACTAAGACTAGCAAATGTTTATTGTAAATTTAGAATGCGGTAGATGGAATAACATTTCAACAAAAAAAACAAATTAAAAAAACCCATTTCAACAGAAGATAAAAAATGTATTCTTTGCGACCTGAATGAAATTGGAGATGAATTACATTATTTGTTTAATTGCAATGATAACCAAATACTGCAAGACAGAAGAAAATTTATGTCTGGATATTATTTTGAAAGACCTAGTACTTTCAATTTCAATACATTATTTAATTATATCAATAATGAAGAATTAATTTCATTTGTAAATTTTCTTTAGCACATAATTGAGCAAATTAACACTGTCCATTAACACCAAGATTTGATTGTAAATTGTTATATAAGATGTATATGTAAATTCTCTACACTGCAACAAGTTGGCCAAGTGGTTAAGGCATCTGACATTCTGCTACCACTAGCCCTCCACCACTGGGTCGCAGTTTCGAGGCCTACGTGGGGCAGTCGCCAGGCACTAGCCATACGTCGGTGTTTTTTCCCCTAGGAACTCCGGCTTTCCTCACCACCAAAATTGGCACATCCTTAAATTACTAGAGTTGTTAATAGGAAGTAAAACACAAAGAAACCAAACCAAATCATTGTCATTGAGAAATAATTATATATGAGATATCCCGTGAAAGATAAATGAAATCAGGAAGCCTTTCAACTATCTTCAAGTTCTTTTTCATATTCAAAACAAAAACATATTCATGAGAAATTGTGATTTTAAAACACCCTGAAGACTAAGTATGATTTGGGATATTTTGACTCACAGATCCATCAGTATTCAAAAATTTTAATTGACTGTTCAAGTAAGTGTTTGTCTTCTACAATTTTGAAAACTTTCCTTGATACTTTTAAATATTAAATACTTTATATATATAATATTTTTATAACAAAACAAATAAATGTAGTGTCTTCAATAATACTTATTTTTGTTATAAAGTGTTATTTCGTATTTTCTTAAATTGGTATGATTATAATTTTAATAACATCTGTATAATTACTACATCACTGATGATACATCTTGTATTATAGTCATTTTGACTATTTTTGACATATGCAGACACGTTCAAATCTTAAAACATTACATTAAAAATCAAAAGGCATCGCCGGCGACGTTTGAAAATAATTTTATTAAATAACCGGAAATTCCGGAATCTCATTGGTTCTGATTTTATTGTAACTTTACAATATTTATCTCCCTTGTCGCACTTGTTGTCGAGTAGCCAATCAAAACTCGTCATACACTTTCTTTCCCTAACAGCATACTTTGTTTCAATATGGCCACCGACGTTCTCAAAACCACCTGTTGCTGAGTTAGTTTGAATGAGTGTGACCATAAATGAGCATGACTGTGATGTTTATGGATTAAAACAACTTACTTGGCTGGTGATATGTTGACGAAACAAGTGTAAGTTCACAATTCAGCGTGTAAATATGTATTCTTGTCATATTTCATTATTTGTGCAATATTTGTTTTTCAAAACAACTTTATCAAAAGTTTGTTTTTCATTATAAAATTCGAGAGAGTAATGTTTTGATGGTGTTCGCACACACAGTATGTTGCTACATTTTACGTGATGATAAAACAATAATGCTAGATCAAAAGAAATTGTAAGAGATCATGCACATCGTATGTCCAACGAAAATATTGGTCTCCTAGTCCTATCTAAAGGTTGGACACAACGGCGCATATGGGTAATAATCCTACATTCGACTTTGAGTACAATTTTATTACTGGAATGGGGAATACATTTTTTTCTAAATTTTAAATTAAAATGAAAACACAAATTTATTTTAAACATTATGAACAAAAAAGGGCATCATACTTTAAACATATTCCAATAAAAAACCAATGAGGTACATTTGTGCATTTTTTATTTTATTCAAATTCAGTTGTCTAAATCTTTGTTAAAATGACAAATGGTATCACCTCCATTGCTTTTAGTGTGTTATTAGTGTAGCTATAATTAGTACCACAGATAATCCAATTCTGTGATAGTACACAGAAAACTAAAACGAATATACTCACCTGTCACATTTGCAATGGATGATCCCATTGATTAAATACTGAAGTCAATGGAGAACAAAGTCAGTGATATGTTTTGTCATTTTCACAAAATGTTAGACGTCAGTCTCAGAGTTGAGGACTTTTTATGTACTTCATTGTGTAATTTATTGGATTTTAAAGAATAGTGCCCTTTTCTGCTTAAAGAGTTTAAAAGAACTTTGTGTGTTTTTATTTCACTTTATTCACCATTTCAGTGAAAAATTGCTACTCAAATGTATTAATTTACCAATATGCGCCATTGTGCCCAACCTGTCTTAACGGAAGGATAAGGGCCACATTGAAAGTAATATGCTGAAGTTGTAGTGGTCTTAGTTTCTTTTCAGTTTCGATTGGTATTCTTGCATTGTCCGAAATAAGTCTCTGATGATTTAATTCAGAATCTTTGTATATTCGATACCACTCAAATATGTCTCACTGTATCCGTATTTTAAACTCTAAATTGAAAACAGACATTTTCTGATACCGGTAAGTTGTGTAGCAGGATTAGGCTGGTTGCTGACTCTTGCATGGGGACCTAACATCTCAACTAGTGGTTAGAGCACCAGGCAAGAGTTTGGTGGTGTCAGTTTCAATTCCTCATCTGTTTGTGGCAGTTTGATTTTCCTGCTGCAGTTATTGGTAGCATGGTTCTAAAGTGTCTTTTATTTTCCAAATTATAGATTCAAAATGTGAAGCGTCCTTGATCATCCAACATATTATCTGGAGATTTTTATAGCTCGGCAGTACCATGGGAGATAAATATGGCTCTGATGTGTACCTGCCCATGCCAATCGACAGGGATAAGCTCGGTCAGAGAAAGGTGGAAAAAATTCAACGAGAGATTGAAAAACTGGAAAAGGAACAGTTGGACAAGAAGGAGTTGATTGAGCGACTGAGTCGAATGCAAGATAATCAAAGCCGACAACAGGAAATACAGAACAATGTCCTAGTATGTGTCCAAAAGATATAATAGAATGGCAGCAAAGTACTTTGATGCTGTTTCTATGTAGAATTTGGATGTACTTTTTTTTATTATTGAATGATAAATATTAATTTTAAGTCAGGTTATGGTTTTAAAGTAATTTATATGGGGAAAAAAATCCAATAGTTATAATTTTTTCTCTGCAATTAAGTGTATCAGTTCTTAATTTTTGCAAACCAAACTATTTCTTCCTCCCTCCTGACAATGAACATCTCTGAATACTTTTTTATGATCGACAGAATCGACACAATAAAGACCAACAGTTGGTGGCAGAAAAGGAGCGTGTGTATGGCAGGGATAGTGCTGCGAGCATAAGAAAGGGTCTGTATGACAAATCACTTCGGCATTAAATTAGGAATTGCAACAATTAAACGTTGTAAATATCATAAAAACTGTTATTGTGATGATCAGAATTTGGTAATATATATAGGGCTTAGTGTGCTATTAGCAACTTTTCAATATACATTATATTCTTCTAAAATGAACAGACATTTTGAATTGTCTGTCATGCATCTTTAATTTAACTATCATTTCTGAAAATATCCATGCTAGGTTCTCATCTAAGTTATTATTACTGTCATGTACCAGGTAAATAAATAAAATATCCTAGATAATTACTTGGCTGTAGAGTAAAGTTCTCAAAACCACTTTTTTTCGTAAATAAATCGCAATAGGGAAGAAATATACATATAACTGGTAACAGTTACAAAGCATGTTTTGATTTTGTTACAGGTGAAAACATAGATGATGTCATTGCTCAGAGAACAAAAGAATTTTCACGGCTACAGAATGCTAAAGAAGTAGAAGCAAGGTAACTGTTTACGTCAGCAATACTGTTGCCTTCATAAGATATGTATCATGTATATTTATTTATTTATTTACGTCTCAACTCATTGCATAATATCTACATCAATTAAAATACACATGTATATGTTAAAACATATTTATCAACATTTTTATACGCCCGTCGAAGACGGGGACGTATTATGTTATCACGTGAGCGGGCGGGCGGGCGGGTGGG